ACGGCCTGACGAAGGCCGACCTATCGCCCCGCAAGTGAGCTGGGTGGAGCATGGCTCAGTCCAGTTGTAATGACAGATCAGCGTCCCCAAATGACCTGTGTATGGCTGAAATCAGCTGTACAAGTTAATATCAGAGGGGAAATGGCTCAGCACATAAGCTGTTTCTATACCCAGAAGACACAGTATTACAATGTAGCAGCTGCAGCTCCTACAGAGTATTACACGGTCCCCATGGCCCAGCCAGGAATAATTTATATACTGTATACTTACATTGTGCCTCGCTGGACCCATTGCAAGTATATATAAAATTTTAAAGCTGGAGTTCAGCTTTAAGCAATAATCTATTGTAAATGTATTACTAGGGATTCACCGATACCGTTTTTCAGTACCGAGTATTAATATTTATTTGCTGATACAGAGTATCGATACCGGTACTTCTGCTAGCATGAAGTCGGCTTCCGGGGCAATCAGGAAGCTGGGTGGTGTGCCATTACCCGCCGCTAGGCTTCTTGTTAGCCCCTTGCCACCCGCCCATTGTAAAATTATGGGCGGACGGCAGATGCTTCCCGGCGGGTGGACGTACATGTACTCGACTTACTTCCTGGCTGCGTGCACGCACAGCCAGGACCCCGCCGGGAATCTAAAATGCCGTTACCAGCTGTTATATACAAGCGTTCGGCCGGCTCTACAGCCGGCTGATCGCTTGTATGATCGTGCAATATGGGCCCCTCTCCTCTGCCCTCCTCAGTCGCTGCTGGTTATCCTGGGCTCCGCTGTCCCTCCTGCGAGCCCGGGACGGGCATAGCGACTGGCCATAGTGAGGAGGGATCATCATTTCCCCCACCGCTGATCTCTCCTCCTCTCTCTAAAGGCGGGAGCGATGTGTATTACATCACTTCCGCCTTTAGCTGTAATTTCTCTGGCTGAGAGCCAGAGAATAAGCTGGTGAAGTAGATCTCTGCTTCATCAGCTTCTTTGGGGGTGCCTAGGTGACATTAGGGGTCTTAGAGTCCCTGATGTCTCCATAAAAAAGACCTGTCAGTGTATATTGGCTATGACATAGGGGGGATTGTAAGCCCCTTATGGGATAGCAATCAAGTTAAGTGTAAAAAAAAAAAAAAAATTAAGTCCCACATTAAAAAAAAAAAGTTTTAAGTCCCCCCGCGCACACACTTATAAACGTAAATACGCGCCAGGTGCGCCTACGTGCGAAAGTGTCACCTATTGACAATTTTAGGCAAGTGGTTAACTGGGGAAGCTGGTTCCATGCTGTTTGGCTAGCTAAATGCTTATTGGCCAGCAAGCCGGCTTCCCCAGCCAATCAGCATGGAACTGGCTTCCCGGACAAAAAGGAAGCCGGGAGGCGGGTCATTACCTGCCACCTGGCTTCCTGATTGGCCAGAAACCCGGCTCCATGTTTCCTTGATGCACTGCTGGTCAGAGGAAATCTTCCCGATGCCATCACAAAACAATTGTGAATTATACACCACATCACCACTGGCATTTCATTGCTTACCTTTTATTCACAGCTTTTTATTTTAATTTTTTTAATGTCTAACTATACAGGCACCAATATTTTCTTTATGGGGCCGTTTTTTCCCAGCGCAGCCCCAATGCAAGACAAGGCAATTTGCCTGGTCATGGATGGAGTTCATACCACCGCGTTGCAGTGAAACGTAGTGGTGTGTGCTAAAACATTTTTTTATTGCAGGAGGATGCGACACAGAATAACCACCGAGCCCCATACTGTGCCCATAGAACTTAATTAAATGTCACTTGTGACATTTCAATAAAGTTCTAAAAAACTGTAGTGCAGCAGCTGGTGATAATGCGCCCCAACTGGCTCCATGTAGAACTGTTATTAGTGGGCTGCCATACATGTTTGGGAAAGGAAAACTGAACATTATTATTTTCAAATTCGGTGTTGTAATACCAAGGCAATGTGAAAGCACAAATGAAAACTATTTTAATTGTATTTATATTATTAAATGATAATTCATTCTAACCACATTATTAACTTTAAATATTCTTCCTATGACCCCAGGCACTTAAATTACAAATAATTTTAGATGTTGTGCAGTCTAGACTACAAGACGATGATACACATTTTTGCTGCCTGTTTTATTGGGCCCATGTTCCCACTATATTCAAACAGCCCTAAATTCAATATGGCAGAGGCCAGCCTAAATAAAGCAGCATTTAAAAAAAAATACCATTAATCATCATCGTAATTATTATTATTATACAGGATTTATATAGCGCCAACAGTTTGTGCAGCGCTTTACAATATAGGGAAGACATTACAATCACAATACAAATCAAGACAAGATGGCAAGGAGGGCCCTGCCCGTGAGGGCTTACAATCTAAAAGGGAGGGGGAAGTGATACAAGAGGATGGAGCTGTGTGGGGATGAATTGTTTGAGAACGTGATGGTTGAGGGGTTAGGTTGAGGTGGGATAGGCTTCCCTGAAGAGATAAGTCTTTAGGGAATGCCTAAAGGCAGTCAAGGTGGGCGACAGACGGACAGGTTGGGGTAAAGAATTCCAGAGGATGGGAGAGACTCTAGAGAAGTCCTGGAGGCGAGCATGGGTGGAATTGCCGATGGTTAGGGTGATACTTTGAGACCAGGTTTGAGATTGCAATAATCAAGACAGGATATAACAAGCGAGTGGATGAGTAATTTTGCGGTTTCTTTGGTGAGGAAGGGGTGTATTTTGGGGATATTACGAAGGTGAAGGCGGCAGGATTTGGATATGGGGAAGGTGATTGTATGTGGGGAAGGTCTGAGTCAAGGATGACACCTAGGACCTTGGCATGGGAGGAGGGGTGGATAGTTGTGTTAACAATCTCAAGGGAAAAGTTGGGGGAAGGTGCACGGTGGGGAGGAAATATCAAGAGCTCAGTTTTTGTAAGATTGAGTTTTAAGAAGTGTTGCGACATCCACACGGATATGTCAGATAGTAGATTAGTGACATGAGAGGACACAGAGGGGGGGAGTTGGGGAGGAGTTAGATTTGTAGGTGACGCTAAAGGAGCGCTTAAATAGGTAGGAGAACCACGAGAGAGCAGAGTCTTGTAGCCCTAGTGACTGGAGTTTTTTGAGGAGCAGGTGGTCAACAGTGTCAAAAGCAGCAGCAAGATCTAATAGCACGAGTAGGGAATAGTGGCCTTTGCTTTTAGCAGTGAGTAGGTCATTAGTGAGTTTTAGGAGGGCTGTTTCAGTGGAGTGTAGGGGGCGAAAGCCAGATTGTAAGGGGTCGAGAAGGTTGTGATGAGCGAGGTGGCGACTTAGGCGGCTGTAGATGAGGCGTTCTAGGAGTTTGGAGGTGAATGGGAGTAAGGAGATTGGTCTGAGATTATTGAGGTCGGTAGGGTCCATTGAGGGTTTTTGGGCATTAGGGTGACCAGGGCTTGCTTCAGAGGGGAGGGAAAGATTCCAGTAGAGAGTACAAGTTTGAAAATGTGAGCAAGAGAGTCTAGGATAGAGCAAGAGGGTGACCGAAGTAGCGGTGATGGAACAGGGTCCAGGGGGCAAGTGGTGAGGTGGGTGTCAGAGAGAAGCTTCGTAACCTCTCCTGTGGTGACGGGGTCAAAAGAGGAAAGTAACAAGTGTGATGGAGGGTCTGGAACATGAATAAGGGAAGGTGACTGCACAGTGGTGATCTGATCCCGAATTGTATCTATTTTGTTTTTGAAATGAATGGCAATGTCCTGGGCATTTTATTAGTACAATACTATTAATTGTTTTAATGCTTTAGTTTAGTGCATATACAATAAAAAAGTGTACAACATACAATGTTCCACAAAGACATCCAAACAGTGTAGGACATATGAGATCCCTTACAGATATCTGTTATTCGTGAGACAGGGTTCACACTGAATTGTAAAGTGAAACCAATTAGTCAAGAGATCTGAGCAAACGCAGGCTGGTAGGTGTGCAGTTGACTTTGACAGCCAATAAAGCAAGCCTGTGGGACTCCCACACAAGAAAAAAAAAACTATCCTGTCACATTTTGAAAACATTGACATAGAAATATAACAAGCATATAGGAAAACTTTGGCCTGAAGCCTGCTAAGATAAAAGAAAGAAGAAAAAAAAGATAGGGAGCATTAGGTCTGCGGATGGGGTCTGGTGTGAACAGAGAACTGAGGTGGGATGGTGTGGCGGTATGGGGCAGTGAGTAGAGTGGCAGAGGAAGGAGCAGGGCTGCACTGGGAGAGGGCAGGCTAGGAGGGTGTACAAGTTATCAACCCAACCAGAGGGTCCTTCGCTCAACAGAACTGCTTTGTATTCCTGAGAGAGGCAGTATTCTCTCCAATAGAACCATGTTTGTCAGACTTTCTACTCACTTACAATGCTTCAAAGAGGCCTTAAGGTCCACCATACATTTGAGTTCCTTTATTTTCCAATACCATAGGTGAGATAGGGGAGTGGGCTGCTGCTTCCAGAGGGCAGATATGCACATTTTAGCTGCATTGATAATGTGAATTAAAAGGGATTGTTTATATTTGTTTCTGGAGAGGTCTGAGGTCTGAAAAATAGAGGATGTAGTCCGCTGGATTGCCTCTAGGGTCTATAACAGTTAGTTGTATGGTCAGCTTCTGGATGCCAGTCCAGAATTCCTGCAGTTTGGTGCAGGACCAGAAAACATGAATAAGGTTGCCTTCTGCTTCTCCATATCGCCAGCACAGGTTAGAGGAGTGAGGATATACTCTATGAAGACACAAGGTAACCCTATATCATCTTGCTAGGATCTTTATCAATGTTATATTATTATAGTTTACTATTCCTTTTATTTATACTGCTACCTGTCAAAAACACATCATATACCATTTTCCTTTTGGTTTCTAAATAATTTGATATTAGGAAAACAAGTACTGAGATTTACATAACAATAAGGTGCCTCCATCAAAACTTTGACCAAGCAGAACACAAAAGATGAGTTACAGCTGGTTAAGAGAACATGATTTATAAGCATGCTGGGGAATCAGAACTTACCAAGGAGCTTTGATGGAAAAACATCCTGCTCCAAACAGGTAAGGTCTTCACATAGGAGGGGAAAAGGCAGAACAAATTAGATAAAAATAAAGAACTCATTATTAACATTCATTGATTGAATCATGCATGTATGTTCAGAGAATTATTTCAGCTACTGCCTTGCAACATAAAAACACAAACCCAATTAAATATTATTTATATTTCAAGCACATTGTTAAGCTTCTTTCAATCTTTAAATTAAACAATCCCATTCTTTGTTAGCTCTTCAGACAAACATGAAATAGGGACCAGTGCCAGAAACCCGTGGTGAGCCACACAAGATATAAAAAACAAACATTAAAAAACATTCATAATTGTGCAATATAATTTAATGAATACTATAAATTAGCCAATGTATGCTTGGCTTCATGGATATCGGAAGTATGTATTGCAGCAAAATGGAAGTATGCATCTGCAAAGAGTTTACTGGTTGCTACATCAAAGTGGCTCCTTGTGGCTCCCAATCCAGTGGTTTGGGAACACTGCTTGTAATAACACCTAGTGGGATGTACAATTATGCCACTGGCTGCTAACAAACAACAGATGTGCCATGTCAACAAGCAGATATCATGGTCATGCCAGCGAACAACTACATTGCATATATATGTTGTAAAAAAAAGTGCATGTGGCTTTTATTTATTTTTTACACACACCCCAAAAAAGAATAATGCCAATAGGTGGGTTAAATAGGTGGGTTTTCAACGGATATTTAACATAAATTGTTAGCAATGGAACCACTTTAATCTTATTTAAAAAGCTGTCTCCAATGTGATGTGGTACAATTATTATTTTAAAAGTTTGCTTGCAGAAGAGTGAACTAATGCATAGAAATGTTTTCACTTGCAAACTAATATAAAGATTTTGCCTAAAAGGAGGTAAATCTTAAAGTAGATGTAAACCCTAAGTTAATGACATTTAGTTGGCTAAAACACTGTACATTATAAACTATTCCTTTTTTTTAAGTGCTGCCGATCTGTTGCAGTCTAATTGCAGCCACTATATATATATGCACTTCAGCAATGGCTATATGCCGTTCCTCATGATGGGTTTCCTGATGGTGGAAACAGAGGATTTCCCTGTGTGATGAAAACAGCTATTTGTAGTCTCAATTAGAAGCCTGTGTAATAAGGTCACAAAGCAGGAGCAAGATATGTGCCTGAAAAATGACCATCATTGAAGGATCACCAGGTATTTATTTTTATGAAAGTTGTAGTGTCACAAATGTTGAGCAAGCCTTAATATTAATTACATCAACAAGTTAAAAAATATATTAGTGACTGGGTTTACATATACTTCAGATAAAACTGAAGACTTCTATATTGACTGACGCTGTAGTCAGATCTACATAAAATGGCAGTATTTACAGAGAACTGCATACCGAATATATTGCAAGATTTCATTGCTACCAAATGAAACAAAATGGTTTTCTGTCTCTGACATTTTTGTGTACTTCCAGCTGCCAACCCATGTGTCCGATAGTCAATGATCAGTACTTGCCAGCAGCAACAGACCTCTAAACTCTCAAATGACCTCCGATTATGCTTCTAGGTGTTGTACAGAATAGAATCCATACAGTTTACATCCACTAAAATGAGCATATCACCCCACTTTCAACTGTCAAACCAGAATATGTAGAAAGGGAAGAAATTATATGCCCAAGCAGTCTCTTACTAAGTGTGACAATTAGGGGTCTAATTATGAAAACAAATTGCACGGCTTTTCATCCAGGAAATCTGCATGGACATATTTTTTGTGAATTAACCAGCTGTTGTGAGAATGGGGCAACATTGAATGGTTTTATGGTATTTACTCTTCTGGTAAGATTTTCATCAAATATAGGTAGCAGTAGAAATAGGCTTATTCATAAAAAGCAAAGTGAATTTGCAAAATGCCACATTATGGATACAAGCTGAAGATCATAGGAAATAAATACACCTGGGTAACAAGAGATACAATGTAACAGGGAAGTTACCAGATGAATGCACCCATTACTAGTACATTAATCTCTATAGAAGCAATTGTAGCAGACTATGGAGCACTACCCCACTCTTCTCTATAAAATGGGGGAGGTATTTGTAGCCTTTAGAGGCAACTGCTAATAATGGCAAATAATAACAGTCAGAGAACAGAGGAAGCCATCAGCTTACAAGATTTCTGGCAGGATCAACTTGTATTGTTTTTGCACTTGTCAGACAGATATAACAAAACACTTTAATTGGTATCATTAACAGACCAAAAGGAAGCAAATATGAAATGTTAATTGTTAGGGTTTACACTGTAAGCTAGCCATATCCTTTAAGATTTGATTGAACAGTCTTCTTCAGAAGATTATGTAGTCCTTCTGTAGTTGTTTTTTGTCTCTCAGATTGAAGGTCCTTTGACCTGTGGGAGCTGCCTCTACAGTGTGTTTGTTATCATTTCAACTGGCAGATATTGCACGTGGAGGCGCGGGTATTGTTTCCTGTCACTAGTCTGACAGCCTACCTGGCTAGGTAAAAATGAGTGGATGGCTCAGACAGGGTTCTACAACAAGGTTTTGGTAGATCTTGAGAAAATAAACCAAACAATGTGTATTCAGATTGCAAGGTGTATGGCCAGCTTAAAGGTGGTAATAATTTAGCAGATAATTAACTTGGCCCAACTGGCAGCCTTAAATAAGTCATGCATCACTGGGAGCCTCTGCAACCATCTGCCCAATTTGGGTAGCAAATATTAGTAATGCATAAGTGGCAAAAGCTTAATTTCCTCTTCAATCAAAAATATTTCATGTAAACATAAGAAATTATTTGTTGTTTATTTTACCGGCTTGCAATAATAAAAGTGATTATTAAGGCACCACTTGATGGTGAGACTGTCACAGGTATTACTTGACACAGCCACATCACTTGCAATCACTAGAACTCTTTTAGCCTTTGTTTACATTTGTGCATTTATGGTGCAGTATAAATGAATGGACACAAAAACATAAACCATATTACAAGACATAAGCTGCTCACATGCACAAGAGGTGATGGTCCAAAAGAAAATATGGTACAGAACAAGGTGAGCGCTCTACTTCAATTTAGAGGGGAAAAACCTTATACAGGAAAGGATGGGCAAATGGTCCAGCGAAAACATTCTCTTAATTTTCATAAAAGTCAGTAGGAGTCAGAACTTCTGGTTGGTTTTATGGTTGGTTTTATGGTTGTCTTTGTCTTAACTGGAGGTGACAACAAAACTCCAAGGTATAGGTATCCCCAAGAAAGGGAGACACTGAAAGCAATATAATCCTGCCAGTTGTTCTAATCGCTCTGCATGCTAGAAGACATGTTTTTTGGTCCCTGTTCCCATGAGAGATATATCCCATCACCTCTTATCCAAGTGATATGCTGTCACCAGGACAGGTAGTAAGTGTGGATTTCCCCAGACCCGACCAAGGTTTTAACCCTTTCTCCCTCTGTACAAAATGTATTAAAAAGTTTGGCCTGGGGTCGAGCTTTAACAGTTGATTAACTTTAAGATAATAGGAAAAACACATATATTATCCATATGAGCCTGTAAAATGTACAATTTTCTTTTTTACCATGGAAAATGTCAGCTGAAATTATATTGACGCTATGAACAACACTACCGACATGGGTTCTCAATGATACATTTTGTGACATTTAGTTTCCTTAAGAAAAAAAAATGATGTACTCTATGTATTCCATCCTATTACCAATGTCACATTACAAAGACTTCTAGACATCTGTGAATTAAATATTACTATTTATAGTTCAAAAACCCTTTGGGAACAGAGAATACAAATGGCTACACCACCGCATCAAAAGTTTGACAAACGTCTGTTCTGTGCACTGGCAAAATGGCTGCACTAAAATGACAAGGCAGCCCTTTCTTGAAATGACAGCTCCAGATGGCCCTCTCTTATGACAATCGACACCCAATGTCATAATGAATGAGGTCTAGATAACATGTAGGATTGAGTTTACAATGATATGCTAGAATGGGCTACAATGAAGTACTCCGTCTTTATATGTTACTTTGTTTCACATATGTATGTTGTTTGTTTCTTTTTTATTTTACAGAACATAGCAAGAGAACATGACACTAAGCAGTGGATTTTACTAATAGCATGAATGTAATGAATACGGGCAGATATGAAAACTACTTACAACCAGTAGAAAATGTAGCATTTATAAATAAAAATATTACTTTATGCATTAAATCATATATGACATACACAGCAAAGGTAGTGCTACTTTGGATTACATGTCTGAAGCTAGCCATACACGGTACCATTTTTGCATGATTTCTGTTGAAATTCAAACCATGGGTGGCCCTGCTGACACCAACCAGCTTGACCAAAGTCAGTTTCAAAATTGAAGGAGCTTGGTGAAAAACTGTTAGCCGAATGGTGACTGCATCCTGTCGGATGCAGTCACTGTTTGAGTATTCAGGCAGCCATAGGTGGGGGTGACTATCTGAATATAATAGCAAGCAGTGCAGATTCCTGCATGCACCCCGTTTAGTGTTGATGAGGGAATTGAGTGATTTATCTTGTTCACCCAATCTACAAGTGCATGTTTAGCCATATTCTAAACTGAAGGTGAATTTAGCTCAGTAAACTGAGCCTATTGATAAGCCATGGGGCTGACTCACAAGCAGAGATGTGTAAATCACAGAACCCGATGGACAGGAATACAAATCCCCTGGCAGGCAACACAGTTTCCATATATGTATCTTATCTGTGTATTTAGCTGCTTGACTAGAGTTCAGCTTAAAAAACACTCCTTCAGAATGTACACATTTATACAAGATGTATTGATCTGCTGCTGAAAATAAGATATAACAAGCACATAGTACTATAGAGTCTCCCATGATTTGTAATGTTGTCATTAATATATATGTACATTGTACACCAAGCCGACTAATTAAATAATAGGTGATTTAATAAAACATGATGAGCCCTCTGAAGTGCTTTTATTAACCCCTTGCAAACAATGACAAAATTTACAAGGGTGAAATCC